GGGACTACTCGTAGTCTAAAGATCAAGCGATCCAGGTTGCCCCCTACTCTTCACCCAAGTTCATAAATGGGTTCCAGCAAGTTTGGTGCTGGGGTTACATGTAGTCAAAAACTGCCCTGTTATGGCCTAGCATCCTGGCTAAGGAAAGTTCAGGGAAGTACAACTAACCGCTTCATCCCACAGAAACTGGGATATGCTCTGGCACCTATGACTTTGATCCAATTCAGACTTTTAATACTCACAGTTTTATTTGGTGAGACCATGGCCTTGACAAACTCAGAGGAGGCAATGGACGCCGAGCGAATGGTATCCGTTCTTCCAAGGAGGAACTTTCGAGTAGAACCAGTTTCATATGTTGGAGGATTGTGATTGTGAAGTCTGAAAAGAGATATGAGAAAATGAATTATGCCAAAATACAACTTACCACAACAGTTCAAAATAATGAATGTGTTGATTAATGCACTCAGTTGGTGTTCATGACGTCTGTTATAAAACCGTAATTTAGTAATGTTCAGTACTTTCATAATACCTGTAAAATGTCAACTGGTATGCCATTTGTATCCAAGCATCTGGACTCATCTTTTGCTTTTTGACAAAATCTTTACCATACCCAGTATAAACAAAACACCTCAGGTCAATGTCACTGACCATGCTAAGAAAAGAAACAAAATTACAAAAAGAGATTAGTTTATAGGCACAATTCTGGCACAAAGTTTTCATGAACTTTTAGCATATGAACTACCCTCCAGAGCTGCATAGAGGACACCATCAAATGGAGGAAGTGCAAGTGGATTGGACTCACTCTCCTAAAACCTAGGAAAATGGAACTATAGAGTTCCAGGAAGAAGGGTCAGCCCAGTGTACATTTCATGGAGGCACAGCACACTAGAAAAACTGGAAACATGTCTTGACTTAAAAGACCAAGAACATGTGCCAAATGGAGTTCAGTGAAGAGCCTGGATAAATGACTTAACAATTTTGTTCTCCTATGAAGTGAAAAAAGCAAAGAGAGCGATACATGTCTGACAGCTCACCTGTCCAGGTCAGCAGCTGACTGCTGGATGACTTCCTTTACTTTATTGGTCAAGTTCCATGTCAACTTGGATGGAGTTTCTAAATGGTTTCCTTCTGATGGTTTTATTTCGTAGTGACCATCCCTAGTGAAATATAGCATCAATACTTAATCTTGTGATAGATCCTTACTTTTAACATTCCAGTGTGACAGAAAACAACAACAAAAGATATATTCTTGATTGTACTTGTTCTTTACTTTGTAGCCTGTGCATGGACAGTACAGGGTGACATTTTGGCCACATGTACCCAAAAACCTACATGTAGTCACCCTCCAAATCAAGCCATGCAAAAAGGCTGTTAAATACAAACAAGGGTTAGGTGAAAGTTCATTTTCAAGTGTGAGTTTCACTTACAGGTTTTCAAGTATATAATTACAAAGAGAAGCCACAGGAGGACCTTCTGCCGCAGAGTGTTCATAACACATTCCAGCATGTCCATCCTCACTCACACAGATCTATAACACAATCATAAACATTTCTCTGCAATCTATTTGATTCAACAGGTGCTCTTAATTGGGTTCATGAGTACTGTCCACAGGAGAGGAAATGTTGCTTGATGAGTCCAAAAATCTGTGTAGGAGGCTATACGCTATAAAATCTATGTACAGTACATTATACAGCTGAGACAGAGTTAAAATTATGAACACTAATGGGACCTTTATTAGGAATCAAAGAAGTGGTGGCTTACATTTGTCGAGCAATTAAGTTTTTATTTTTGTACTTAGTTTTCCTTCAGAACTTGAGAATGAATTTTTTTTCCCACTTGACGAACAACCATAATAATCAATGCCTGGCTGCCAGGCTAGAGTACACATCCTAGTTACAGGAAAAATGATTTTCTTTGCACCCTGAATATTTTCTTTATAATTATAAACTGTGTACAAAGTACCTGAACGATTTTATCAAACCATCTGTTGCAGCTGTTGTATTCTGTACCATCTCCATGCATGCACTGTCTGGCTGTAACAGACGAGGTTGGCATCTCCATGACACTAGGAGATTGGGTGGAGTGTGGGGGAGGCTGGTCTAAACAAAGAAGGAAGATTGCCTTCTCTACAGCTTCCAGGTTGGCCTTGTTGTGACGATCTATGAATTTAAGACAATGGAAGTGCTGTCATATGAGATAACATTAAATCATAATTTTTATAATCAGCTTTAATAAATTTTGTATGACATCCTTTTCCTATTAAATATAGTTAGCTTCATTCCCACGCTTTAGAGACTGTAATAGAGTCTTGCTATATTTTATTATTAATATTATTATTTTTTTATTATTATTATTTTTTTATTATTATTACTATATACACGAATTGGAAGAGTCAATATTATACACACTTGACATGTACAATGTATACACATATATACATAAATATGGTCCACAATTAATGCAGGTTAACTGACAAATGACCAATACTCACTCCACACAGTGTAATTTAAGTGCATGTACAATCATCATACATAAAAATGCAGACAGGTATCACAATCCAGCCAGCATTTTTCTCTCCAGAAATCAACTCCTAGGTACGTGTATGTTTTAAACGTTTGATAGTCACATGGAGGAGAAGTGAGGGGAACCAAATTCAAGAGAACCTGTTTAATCAGTGTTGTATACATTAGCTAGATTTTAAAATTTGATAAATTTTTGGCATACTTTTTTTTTGCTACAGGTATTTGTATATTATAAATAGTTTTAGGATTAATGTAGATGTATTTTTGTGAGGAGGGGCACAAGGTAATCAGTGTCATCTAGTTGGTTATCCACTGTTTCATGTTTGTATCTTCTCTAAATAAAGTCTGTATTGTATTTTATTGCACATAACATAATTATGTGCATACATGTAGAGTAGCTTACAGCAGATGTATTAAAATCATCCCACACTAGTCATAATGTATATCAATTTGGAACCCTGTCCTATGCTATATATAATTATTGTGTACAGATTAAAATATGTACCTTTCAACAGTCTCTTTCGCTGTTTTGCCCAAACTGTTCGGTCAGCAGTGGTTAGGATTCCAACAGGTTCTTCCTGAGGTTCACTGTTGTTTAATATCTTCTCCAACTGAGTAACCAACTCTCCTTCACTGAGAAGCCGGCTTCCATCAAACACATTCAAGACGTAAAACTGTGCAAAAAGGATGTTGATGCAACGATTCATTTCTTTTTTTAAGTTACATGTCATTAATCGGTAGGGAGTAAGGAATAAGGACACTGTTTTCCTCTATTAGTTTTTCACTATGTGGCTCTAGCATTCCCTGTTAATTTTCCATTTTGATTCAACAAGGCAAACGTTACATAATTTTCAGAATTTTGGGCACCCAAAAACCATGAGATCGGGAGTCTTGTTGCGAGGCCATAACAAAAGATAAAAAATTGTGACACTCGCAGCAGAATCATGAGAGTTGGCAAGTCTGTTTGTTCCTTTAAAATATGATTTTTGCTTCATTTTCAAACACTACAGTCAAGGATTGCAATTATTTTTGCCCACCTCCCCTTAAGTTCCTGCAAGGCCCCTATTTATCATGCAAGAGAGCCCCGAGACCCCCTTAGGAAAACTCTTGGTAAGAACACTGCAATTTCTCACAGTTTTCTTTCGCATCATGCACGACAGTCTAAGCGAAAGAGGGACTACTCATACAGCAGTCTACATTTTACCTTACTCACTCGGAAAGTGCAAAATAATACCAATAAGAATAATAACCTGGTTTTTGTGAGCAACTAATACATGCTTCGCCGTTCCTTTGGGAGCCACAAACACTTCATCTCTGATTGGCTGAGGAATTCGACAGGAACAAAGTAACTTCAAGTACTGAGCCATGCATAATGGACTTTTCCCCATTGTATCTACAGGAAAAGCCTCCCTGAAATTTTTAGCAATGAAGTTACATTGTAGTTACAAACACATTTAATTAACTTTGTCTAGTTTAAATAATAGTAACAAGTCTCTACTTACATATCTAGAAGGTCCTTGAACTTTAGCACACTTGAAATTACTCTTGCAGCATACCTATAAATAAGTCAAAAGCTGCAAATTAAAGTCTCACTTAGACAATGGTCCCGTAGGTATCTGCAAGACAGACATCAATCATCAGATATTGCTTTTAAAACTCATCCTGTTTTACCAAAATTAGTATTTTAAAACTGAAAAATGCATATTAATTACGCTTACTTTAAGTGCCCAGTCTTGTCAGTAAATGGAACCTTAGGAAAGGCAAGGCCTGGACTTGTTGTTATCACTACAGGTGATCTGCAATCAAAATAAGCAGCATTGTCCCACCATGTGGCCAGCTATAAAAGGAAAAGAACATCATACACAGGTACATTATTATTGTA